GCCCCTCCATGTATAAGCCCCTCCAAATATAAGCCCCCCAAACCGGTAACGCAAAAAACCCTCCGTTAAATTGCCCCTCCAAATATTAGCCCCCAGGGGCTTGTACTTGGAAAATTGCCCTCAAATACAAAGTAAAACAAAGCAAAAACGGTAAATCTACTTCCAACTATAAGGCTAGTCCAATCGATTTTGAACCGCAAATTTCCGTCCGTAGATAAGCCCCTCCGAATATAAGCCCCTCCAAAAATAAGCCCCTCAAAAAGGGCCTTTGAAAAATATAAGCCCCGGGGCTTATTTTCGGAATTTTACGGTATCCTGTTTGAGCTTTTGCTGCGATATGTAGTCAATATGTAAACCAGCCATGAGAACTAAAATAGAAAACAAAGACAAAAACAAAAAAATTGGTCTTTGCAGTCAGCTAACAAAAAGTGCAAAATACAGGGAAAGCCCCCAACTAACAACCTAGTTTTTAAGAACCTGTTAGGCTAAAATTTGTCAAGAAACTGTTAACCCTGTTAACCCTAAAACTTGAAACAGGTTCTTATTTTCTGTTGACTTTGGTAAAAGGGCTTCAAAATTCATGTGATCAGTGTTTCAGTCCTTCTTCTCATGGTCATTTTTACATAAATGCTAATTTGGTCTGCAGACTTTATATAAGGAATAAGTTGAATACCACTAAATTTGATACCCATAGCTACCATGCTATTTTTTCTTCAGACAATAAGAACCTATTTAACGACCTAAAAAGCCTAAATTTGTGCTAATTTACCACTTATGCAATAAACTGTTTAGGCTAACTTGGTAAAATGCAGGTTGTTCTTCTCTTTACTGTATATCAATTTATTTTAACATAATTCATTCAGTAATNTTCAGTTATTTTATTTAATCCAACTATATTTTTGGGCGGGGGATCGGCTTTGCCCCCCTGGCGAAATCGACATACCCGGCTTTGAAACACAGGGGGAATAAAGGGGGGGGGCCGGCCCTTCAGAGAAGGGGGGGGGGGGGGAGAGAAAAGGGAGGGCCCAGTCTCAAAAAAAACTTTTTCCGCCCTTCGGGCCTCAGTTTGGTCTAAAAATAAGGGGGGGCGGGCCCCCTGGGCCCCTCCCCTGGATCCGCCACTGGAATTTGCTATCATTGATATCAAGCAAGAGAGTAGACCGGCAACTTAGGTGTCTTATCATGGGTGAAGATCTCAAGAAAATGGCAATTCACTGAGAGTTCAGGGCTCCATGTAACATTGTATGCGAGAACCATACATTTCAAATACAGATTTAAAAAGAACATATTTAATAAAAGAATGCATTCAAAATACTGTGCAATGACTGTCATCTTCTTTTTGAGGAGTATCTGCAATAAAAAAGGCATCCTTTCACATTCCGAAACTCAGTGCCATGAAAAACATTTTGAAGGAAGTCTACAAGGAGATAAGGGATGTGACATTTAAGAACCTAAAATGCTGGTTTGGAATTAGTAATCAAACAATTTATTGAATATGGCTTTCACGTGATGTGAAGAATTAAGGACATCTCAGAGGTTTTTATCCAGCACACCCCTTGATCTACATAATGGATTAGTCACTTCCAAGCATGCCCTTCACCCCACCCCCTTGTGTACAATTTGTTCAATCATAAGTAAAATTACAGACGGAATTGGAATACTAATTTTAAAAACATTTAAACCAAAAAAACTTTTGTGACATTTTAAGCCTCTTAAAAGTTAAAACACAAGATATTCGAGAGTTTTGCTGGCACTGAAAAAACAAAACCATTCAAGTGTGATACAATATCACATACTGTCCAATTTATTATTTAGGCATCATGCATACGGCCCCATTAACACTGTCCTATTAGTGCTGAAATCATAGCAGTTGATACCCAATCAGATTTGAGAATTTTGCTATAGTTATGATTAATAATAAATGGTAATAGGACTGTGTGGATTCCTGCGTTCAGTTTGTAATCATACAAGTGATTAACAAAATCATACAAATGCCTAACAGTTCACACAGCAACAAATTTTAACTAGAGTAGAGCTGAGCTAATGGCAAAAAAATATTGAGTTTGCCTGGCAATGCACAAATTGTACTGTTGCCCCCACAGGGATTTTGCCTGCTTGCACATATATTAAGCAAAGTACTTAAAGTTGAAGTATACAGTCAGTATGCCAGCAAAAATCTTGATTTGCTTAAACTGGGGCCGCACGGCATCGTTGGGTAATCAAGAAGATTCCATTGTTTGAGCCCGCAAGTAGGAGATGGTTAGGATGATGAAAACAGAAGGGACTGCTTAATAGTTAGATTTTGTGACATTTATTGTACAGTCATACTTCAATATTCTTTTGCATTACATGCTATCAGTAACATTCTGTGGAGCAGCTGTTATGTAAGTTATGGACCAAAAGACAAAGGTGAAGTTATAAGGTGCGTATAACTGTTTCATATACACACTTGGAGAGTTTGCCAGACACAAGTTCACAAATCTTTGATTGGAAACAATTTGCCAAAGACTCTAATTCTCTCTCTTTGGGGGAATAAGACTCAGCCAACACAAAGGCTAGCCTCCCCTGCATGAAAAACCCCCTAAGAATGTCTGCGGGGGTGGCTACAAACAAGCAGAGTGATTCAACGGCTAGCTCATTACTAGCAGAACGATGGACAATTACAGAAATTTGCCAACAATTAAATTCTATGCAGAGTTATTTCCTTCTCTCAGATGTCCTTCTATAAAGTTTAAAAAAAGACTAGAATGCACGAGCGTGAATTGATCAAACCTTTGAATTACTAAGGCTTACTTTCGGGCAAATAAAATGAATTGTATGTAAAAATTGAAAGAGAAAATAGCAAAAAATTCTAACTGCTAATTAAATCTTTTCTTATGGTTTAGAATAGACTATTCTCGAAACTGAGTATGTTTTGATTAAAGCTGTGTAAATCAAACTGAATCAGTGCATGGAACCTTGCGTTTCCTGTTTTTATCTCACCTTTTGTATGGAATATGTGTGAAAATCTTCATTATAAAAAATGTTCATCAGTATATATTTCAAAGAGCTACACAACTACCAAGAATACTATTGACCGACAATTTACAGAACCGTGGTAGCTGTAGTGTCAACTGTTACTTAGTATAGTTTGCTTTATTGGTTTGATAGTCAGGGAAATACTCACACAAGTAATTTGGAGGAATACTCTTTATAAATTAGAAATATTTTTTTCAATAAAGTCAAGTATTATTGATGGTGAGTGTTTATCAGCTGGAAAAATCACCCATTTTATCATTCTGCCTTTTGAAGCTTCTAACAGAAAATGTGCAATAATTGAATAGAAGTATCTACATAATTATGCTTCTGTATTGGGACCTGTACTACATTCAAAGGCAAAAAGAAAAGTACGATTTGGTTCAGTATAGCTGATTGCAACTCCTTGCTTCAATTGCTATTTCATTTCTAATATTAATATTGATGTTAATATTAATATCGACAACTGTAACGACAATAATAATAATAATAATAATAATAATAATAATAATAAAAATTGTTGTGGACACAAACTTGGCCCATAGCAAACATCCAACATCTTGACCGAGAGGGAAGAAAGATCATCGTGGAGAATGGAGGAAATCACCCTAAGGGATCGATAGCGATACTCTACATGTCTAGGAAGCTTGGTGGAAGAGGTCTCAAGTCCATGGAGAATGAATACAGGAACACTACTTAAGATCAAAGCAGCGGTAAAGTTTAATTGCAACGCTGACCCTGCAATGGTAGCCGTAAGATCGTTTGAAGAGCTAGCAGTACAAAATGGACGCCACTCCATCATTAAAGATGCTAAGAAGTATGCAGAGGAGCTGGATCTACAGGTGTGGTTAAACTTCCCTAACCCAGTTG